GTCAATAAATGCGACTTAATAATCCTCAATTCTTCCACACCCACCATCTCTATCCACATAATATCCTTCATTCTGATCGCAACTTAAATAACATTTTTATTATGAAATGTCTCAGCGTCCACATTATCATAAGTATAGCAAATATCCATCATTTCTTTTCGACTATGGGTCTTTGGATCTTTAAATGTATCATATATTTACTAATATACGCTGCCTATATTTGTTTGGCTATGGGTCTTACGGGTCTTTAGATATATCTGTCTATTCATATATATATATAAAGAAGAATATTTGTTTGTTCTCTATCGATTCAGTTTCTGTAATAGCTATCGTCATCAAATTTTCAAGAACAGTCCTCTAGGCCCAGCGGAAAGTCGCCATGAAGTTGGCGCGGTCAAGGAGTGAGGAAGAGGGCTGGGTGAAATTTCACCCAAGGGTCCCTGTGTTAGCTAGCGTCACCAAATTTTCCATAGTACTCCTCTAGATCCACAGAAAGGCTGGGAGGTTGGCGCGCTCAGGGGTTGCGGGTTGGGTGATATTTCACTCAAATAGTCCTGTGATAGCTAATGTCATCAAACTTTCCATGGCACTCTCCTAGATCGAGGAGAAGGTCGAGAGATAGTTGGCGACACTGATGGGGGCTGAGGAGGAAGTACCTGGGTTAAATTTCACCTAGGTGGTTTTGTGATAGCTAATGTCACCAAACTGTCCGTGGCATTTCCTTATCTACAGAAAAAGTCGACAGAAGATGGGAGACGGAAATTAGTTGAAATTTAACCGAATTTCGTTCAATTTATTTGATTGATTTTAAAAGTATCCATCTATTACTACGTTTTCGCACTGATCTGGTTGTGTTACACAGAAGTCAGAGCGATTGAGAAGTGAAATAATCATCCTCACTCAATATTCGTTGAACTATCGTGCTTTATCTTAGACGTGTATGTATTGGCGATACATGAAACTAACACGAAATCTAAGCTTTTTAGGTCAGAAATGAAGTGGGGATAGAGTTGGAGCGATAACTGTAGGAAAAAGGATGGATTTTGCAACGGCAACTTTAAAAAACAGGTGGATTTGGAGTGCTCCATAGCCTCAGTTATTCTATTTCAAATATGTACGGCGGGATAAGCTGTGGTGATGGATGAATAATTACAAGCAGAACTCTCTCTACATTTCCTGTCGTCTTCTGACATATGAAATTTTCGGTCTGTAAGGTTCTGAACCAACATCGGGTACCTCCGCTAGAATATATATATATGATATCTATTTAAGAGCCCGCAAGACTCTCGTGATCCGTAGCCCGAAAAACTCGATACCATATATTAGTACATATATGATATATATTCAAAGACCCGTATTCTGCTCGAATTGAAGGTCTTTTTTGTTATGGAAATTCGCACCGAAATGAAAAGAACCATGGTATGCATAAGCAGCCTTGATAGAGATTTGGAGAGGTTGTAATACGATGTGACCGAGTTTATTATACGTTGCATTTTCATAAATCCTATTACCGACTTTTACTTTGCTTGTATATTATTTTATTGTAATAACTTTCTGAATGTCTTTAGATGGGAAAACTACAACAATTACAAAAATGGTTAGATTAACAACCACGACACCACCACAAAGAGGTCAGTATTATCTAAGTGCTTCATGCTTTGGATTAAGTGATGATATAAATCTTACAATAGTTGTCAAAAAAATCCATTGATCGTAACTAGGCTTAGTGAATAATGCCAAAAAGGAAAACATTGAATTGGAAAATATTGTCGATTTTCTATTAGTACATCGAACGATGAGAAAATTTGCATTCGATCTCCTACATAAAGGTATTAATAGTAAGATCCTCAGAATGGGTGTGGTTAACCGAATGTTTCAGATAAGACCTACTCACACATATATATTCTAAACTCTTCTTAATGTCATTCTCACTCCGTTTAACAGATATTTCGTATATGATTTTATGTATCAATCAAATTTCTTCGATTTCGATGGGTGAGTGGATATAATAAACTCATACTTAGTTGATTATAACACTATTTGAGATGATATTTACACTTTACTATACATAAGTAATAAAAATAATATTTGTTTGCAATAGAGCAATGCCAGGTGAGATTTAAAACACAAGAGATGTACTCAACTGGCTCTAACTCACGACCAGTCTTTGTATCGCTCACTGATATCAACAAAGACAACAGAGTGGATATAATTGTAGCTAATCAAGAGGCAGCCAACATTGGCGTTATCTTCAACGTTCAAAATAGTTATTTTTCTGAACAGGTAACTCACTCCACTGGATCTGGTTCTGAATCAAGTACACAATATATATCAGTTGTTGACGTCAATGATGACGACAAACCAGATATTATTACTGCAGGCAATGGGAAAAATAATGTTCAAGTTTTGCTCAATAAGGGGTCTGGTCAGTTTCACCTCATAACTCTGCGTCCCAAGGAATCCAAAATATATCCATCAGGAGTTGCAGTGGCTGATGTTAATAACGATAAAAAACCTGATATTATCGTGACAAACCAAAATATGTCCACTATCGGTATTTTTCTAAACCTTGGTCATGGTGAATTCTCGTCTCAACAACCTTACCAGATTCCGGATGGTTTCGGTGTGATGTGTCCACAGGTAGTGGATGTCAATGGCGATACTCATCCTGATATTATTGTCGCAAACTCTGGTGGAGCTAGTGTTGGTATTTTCTTTAATTCCGGCAATGGGACATTCATTTCTTGGACAACATTTTCAACTGGAATCGATTCACAACCAAACTCTGTATTTGTGGCTGATGTCAACGGTGATAATAAACCTGATCTTATTGTGGGTAACTTAAAGACGAGCAATGTTGGCGTTCTTCTCAATGCTGGCAATGGTAAATTTCTTAATCAAACAATATATTCAACTGGAAACGACTCAGAACCACGATCGGTGCTTGTGGCTGATATAAATTGCGACAACTTACCTGACATCATCGTTGCCAACTCTAATAAAGAGAACATTGGTATTTTTCTCAACTTTGGCAATGGTATATTTCAGCCTCAAAGAACATATGCAACAGGAATTTCGACAAAACCATGGTCAGTAACAGTTGGTGATGTCAATGCTGACAGCAAACCGGACATTATTTTTTCAGATGCTGCTAATCACCAGATTGTTATCTTAATACGTTCTTGACATTCATTTGTATTGTTTTAATAATTGCTTTAAATTTCATTTAATACTGTTGAATAGACGCAAAAGACGAAGTTTTCCCGAAATTTCTAATACTTTAGACAACTTGAATACGTTCTCCAGTTTAGACATATCATTTCCTCTTCTATATCAATCTAAAGCAAACCCTTCAGATGTTCATCATTATTTCATTCATTGGAAGTAAGAATATAAAACACGGTGTTGATTTATTCAGTACTATCTGATTAACAGAAGAGGTCGCGGAAAAGTATCTAGAATCTGAAGGTTTGGACTATAGGCACAGGTTCGCTCTGAGCGATCTAGAAATTGAGTAGTCGAATGCTCGACTTATAAATTTTAGGAGTTCTAAACTCGTAATGAATTAAAGATTTATACGTTACTGAAATGGTGGTCTATGTAGTCTAGATAATAATGATATTGTATACTTAATTGTAAAATCAATTTCTACGTTTCAATCAGTCAATACTGATAGAAATTTACAAATACTAATGTCAGTAGTTATTGTTCTTTTTCGTCATTAACGATTTGGAAAGCTTCGATATGTATTGATCGAAGATTAAAATTTTATGAATCGTTTATCAATTTTTTTATGGTTATATCTTTATCTGTATTCAATTTTCAGTCACACAGAACATATGCCGATATATTTAACCAATCTGACAGTTACTCTAGTATACTTGATACTTTTTCCAATATAACTCCTATTTAATAGATATCAACAGTTACATTTAGGTGATATTTTTAATTGTAATCAACATAGTTTAATATTGTAATATTTATTATTAATTGTTAATATCATAAAATTTAGGTAAGACAGGTAAATATTCATTATCTTACAGTTGTTTGACAAGAAAAACGAAGATAAGAAATTATAAAAAGACTTTTATTTTTGTCACTTTCTACTTCTCAAAAATTCAACCAAAAAAAAATTATGATCATCTTTTCCAAGTCGAATACAATTATTTCTATTTTATTTGTTCTTATATATTTCCAAAGTATAATTGTTAGAATACAATCTATTACAAGTAAAGGTAAATTTGATTTTGGTCCAAATCAATTAGCATCAAATATTTGGTATAAACCAAAAGGTCAATTAATCAATGGTCATTATGAAAATAGTTATTCAAATTTTAGTTTATGGTCAAATCTTTTATTACATTTACAAAATAATAATGGTTCAATATCGATACAAGCTTCGGAAATTGGATATATGAAGAATGAAGCATTGATGAATTTTCGTAAAAATAATATTTCTGTTATTGCAGTATTACCTGCTTTTACTCAATGTTATGATGGTACTATATTAGGATTATTAGAACTCTACGGTCAATCACCAAAAGATAATTTATTTTGTAAAATTTTTGATATTTGTAATTCAACAGATCGACAAGATCCAAATGGAAAAGGATGGTTTGTTACTCGAGATGGATTTGCATATACTCCTGATTTCTTAAATTTTGATGAAAGAATGCCAAATTTAATTCCTTATCTTGACTATAATAAATTAATGAATATATCAAGTAATCCACCGCAATGGTTATATCCAAATCTTTCTTGGATAGATAGAAAAACATTAGCACGTGTTGACAATTGTCCTCAAGCAGCTACAAATCGCATTTCAAATCTAATGCATGAATATATAAAATATATACCTATTATATGATAAATTTAATGATTCGAAACAATTCGATTATGCTTATCGTTATATTACTAATCCTTATCATCAAGATACACAACATTTGAAAGATTTAGTAGAATTACTCTGTTCTGTCAATAGTTGTCCTGAAGTTGTTTCTATGGATATGGATTTAACATATATTACATCGTATTCATTAGAAGTTCTTCATATGAATAAACAAATTTTAAATTCATTGAATATTTCATTTGGAATTAATTTAGTTGATCAATGTGTAGAAATTGATAATTGTGTTGCAGAAATTCTTTCAACAGATCATTCACAAGTTATATTAAATTTAGATGCAAAATCTAAATATCCAAATTTAACTCGAAATCAAATGCAAGAACTTAGTTTAATTAATGTTTTAAATTTCCTAATCAATCAAAATATTGTTGATAAAGATACGCATATTGCAATAACAAGTTGGATTACGCGGCCCATTAAAAGTGGCCAACAAACGAATGAGTTAAGATCCGGTAGTATGGCTCATACTGCAAATGAAATCTTTGAACACATACTAATACCACATTCATTTACAAAATAAGTATCAGATGTTGAGAATAAAATAAAACTATATCGATTATTTATTTCGAAGATAAGATTATTTTCTATCAAATAATCAATTACTCAGACTTAATCGTATTAATATACATTCTTACTTTGAAAATACGTTAATTTAAAAGAATGAAATAAAGTAACATGAGATAGAATTAAGAATGTTATTTAATTATTTCTCTCTTTTATTCGAAATAGAATAAATTTATAATATATTCATAATTAACAGGAAAATTATTTACTTAATTTTTTTCACCAAAGTTTTTAGAATGTTAATTATATTATTTAATTTGATTTCATTGATTCTATTCAATATTTAAAGAATATGCATTAATTATTAAGTATAAATAAATAATTCTAATAAACATTATTATGCATATTGTTCAATAGAAATATTCCTTTTAAAGTTAAGAATTTTTTAAATAGAACTATAAATCATTATTTTCAAAATAATAACAAAAAATATGTTATATATTGTAGTATTATTTTATAATGAATTAAACTTTTTTTTACCTTACTGTTATCGATGAATCACCATTATCTTTTATACATATCGTTCTTTCTCTTTCTATTATCTCTTGTTAACGTTTCTCTTCTTTGTGATGTTAACAACTATACATGTGCGTGCGTGTGTGAAAATGGTGTGATTTTCTATATTTAAAATAAACATACACGCTCGTCGAAACGAGCTAACACTTACTATATTCTATTTAAACAAATATCCATTATTTAGTACTTCTGAAAGTTTAAAAGATTTTATTTAACATTTAAGTGCACAAACTCTAATAGTTTTCGATCTCAATTGAAATCAGGTTAAATTTAGTTCATCTTTGTGTGTTCTAATTTTTTATGTTTTAATACATAAAATAAATCGTCACGTGGCTCAATACATATACATATACATATACAGTTCATAGATGTCATTGAAATATGACACGAAAAATACGTCTTATCATTATCGTGCGAACGAAAGAAGTAAGATAAATTTTATTATATATAGTTAATAAGCTAAAACTACACAAAATATACGTATGACTACATGCTTTTACATTCGCGCACATGTATATGCTCCGTTGCGGATAATTGCTTCTCATGTATATATTCTTTTATTACTTGTATATTATAATTATAGGTAGCATTTTTTTATGACTGGCAATAGTAACACAATTTATGCATGCATGATTTGCAATATATTTTGTTGATTTTATCAATATGACACAGACATTATTGGGGCCTAATCATCACTGTATTATGAGAAAAAAAAATAAAATACCCCCTTGTTTTTTTTATTTTTTTTACATAAC